ACTGTGAGCTTGGCAGGCTGGATTGCTGCCAAGCCTTTTCTGTGTTTATTGCTGCCTGAGTTTGTCTGAATTGCTGCCCAAATCCTTATCTCTTTGTTCTGCTTGGCTTTCAGCCACCGAGGTTTTGGTGTCTTGCTATTAAAGTACATTACAACAGTTAAGCTTGTCTCGGCATTCGTCACTGGACGGAGGAGGGAGTCAGAACAATTTTGGATTGGGTGAGAGGGAATGATAAGGTAGTATGGGTATGGAAGAAATTAAACAAAGGGTCAGTGAATGTATGACTTCCTATAGGAAGCGGTTAAACAAGCGAACTATAAATATTAAAAAAAAAATGACTGAAATGCTGGAGGTGCTTTGAACTTGATCAATTTTGACAGAGATGAATGTCTGCCAGTCGGGTGTCATTCATGCTCTACCAGATCTTCAGGATACTAGTGGATCATTCCATGAGTTCAGGTAGCTAGACAATGTCGGTTGGCAGCGCCTCGGAGTAGGGCCTTCTCTGTTGCCGCTCCGGCCCTATGGAATGAACTACCCCCAGAGATCCGGACTCTACCCACCCTCGTGGCCTTCCAAAAAGCTATCAAAACCTGGCTATTCCGGCAGGCCTGGGGCTGTTGACCTCTTGACCAAGGTCCAGCCCCGCTTAGACTGGGTGTATGGTGTGTTTTTTAATCTGCTTTCTTTTATCTGTTTTTTAACCTTTTTCTTAAAATATTATTTCTGTAAGCCGCCTGAAGTCCTTCGGGATTGGGCGGCCTATAAATTTAATAAATAGAAATAGTCCACTGACCATGAAGGAGAAACATCTGTCTTTGATACAAAAGTCTATGCAACACATCCTTAGCTTTACCACCCTCTGTTCCATGCACACATACATGGGATAAGAAGGACATGTGCAACAGCCAGACTTGACTTGGTTAACACCATTCTAGTATATCCCTAAACAAATAGATTGCACTTGGCATAATGAAACAGCTGGATGATAAATTCAGTGATGCTTTGCCAGCAGTTCTTTCTTTTCCCCACTCCAAAGGTAATTCCAGGCCAAATTGCCCTTCTGAGAAAACACAAATTAGTTGTTTTGTTAATGTATAAGCACACAAAATAAATTTAAATCAGT